GCTTTGATTTGGTGGGTACTTCTGTGCTATCCTGCCAGTAAACTTTCATTTCCCCTATTACCCAAGGTCATCTTCTGTTTGCTTACATCCAATGGATTCATAGCTGATATGGAGCTTCAGATATGCCAGAGTAAAATGACTGCTCCCCTTATAACCATTATGCTCCAATATGTTTAAAGACAAAGACCTTCTGTTAGGTTGAAAACTAATATCACCCAATGGGTGATAACATAGGCTCTTCCTGGTTTGAATTCTGGCTTCATCACTTACTGTAAATTGAGGTACATAATAAGTTTGGTCCTAAGTATTTCCATCTGACAGTAGCTTCTGCCCCGTAGAATTCTTCAAGCTCTAAATGAACATGTATGTATATATATTCATATTTATATATATTTAGTCCTACAGAGTCTAGAACTTCATAAATTCTCAACATTAGCCATTATGTTTCCTGTTCCCCATATCCAGTGAGTTCATATTAAATCAGGATGAACCAGCTAAATGTTCAGAATTTGAAGAATTTCCTATCAAATGACTGCACCAACATATTGTGTGATTTCCATGGTGCCTCCATTTCTCTGCCATAAAATAGAGCAAAACAGATGGGTTGTGAGTTAATGAGTGTATAAAGCACTGTGAAATCCTTAGATAAAAGGTGCCCCTGAGCGTTGTTATCATATGACGTGTCATTGGGTGTTATTATAGAGCAGGTTTTATATTTTTAATATATTTTAAATGGGTTTTTTTGGTCAACAAGTGGGACGAGGGAAATAAAGTGATGTTTGAATAGAAACTCGTAAACAGTGGCATAATTATCTCTTGGCTTGCATCCCCTTGTTATATTCAACGCACTGCACAAAGAATTTGCAAAATAAAAATCCTATTTTTTTCTGAGGTTAGCATTTTCTGGATATAGAGCTGATACACAGGGCAGGGTGGGTCTACTTCTGTGACTTAGACAAGCTCAAGCACCTGTGAGTAAATCATATGGCATCCACTTTCACATAAACATCAAGACAGACTCAGCATCCTTTCTCTTTTTTTTTTTCAGCATCCTTTCTCAAATGAGCTCTTTTTATAGTGTCTTAAAACTCCATGACACTTCCAAGGATATCAACACAAAGAATATATCACAAAGAAAATTTCCCTTTTGTTAAAGGAAGTACGATAGAAACAACCATAATCATGCCCAATGCAGAGTAGACAGTTCCGGGAGCAGCATGGATCATAACTGGATCTGGATTTTAGTTCTGTCTCTGACACTTACTTGAAAAAGTTTAGTTCTGTCTCTGACACTTATGTGAAGAAGTTAATAGTTCTGTCTTCTGACACTTAAGTGTCAGAAGTTACGTGGTACAAATTATTTACCTTTATTTTAGCAAAGTAAAATATTATATAACCCATGACCTATTATGTAAAAAATATCTAACCCAATACCTATAATATAGTAAATATTTTCTCTCCTTCTGGCCTTGCTAGGAAAAGCTGCAAACCTTGGTATGATCACAGAACGTTAAGTTTTTAGGTCATTTTCATAAGGATTAATTTAAGTTTAAAAGATGTTTTAGAGTTATGATTTTGCTAACCACTCACCAGGTCTCCCAGTAGAATAAGCAGGAACTCCTGAAACTGTTCCCTCTCTCAAATTCCCCACCTAGGAATTCTATGTGGTAACGAGAAATCTTGGAACCAAAAGAGGACCCAATAACTTATTATTAAACCTGCTACATCTGCAAGCCAGAGCAAGAGGAGAGGAGCCCACAGCCTTCTGGTGCCCCCTGGAGGCTGCCGGGAGCATGCCTCTTGCTGCAAAGAGCTCCAGTCTAAATTTTGGAAAAGGGAAACCCAGAGCTTCCCTCTTACAAGTGTCGAAATGAGGAAAAAAAAAATCTCAGATTTTCTCACCAATTCTTATGGCTTGTGTCTAGATGTCCCCCCCCCCACCCCAAAGCATCATATGGTCATAGGTGGGACTTTGTAGAGGCTGCTGGATCTAAGGTGTGTGGTGCTGGAATTAGAGGTGTGACGTCCACCCTCGGTGTGAGTGCTATTCGCTTTAAGGGCAGTTAGCCTGGATGTAATGTAAGGGGCAGGAACGGGGCTGCTGCTGTAATTTGCTGCTGCTGCTTCTGTTGCTGCTGCCTCCTGCCTGCTCTGCGATGCTCCTTTGCCATCCACCCTGCCTTAGAGCCAGCTGATTATGGGCTGAAACCTCTATTAACTGCAAGACAAAACAAACTTCTCTCCTTTAACTTTAGGTGTCAAGTATTTTGTCTCAGCAATGAGAAAAGTAAGACATCAAAATACATTGCGATTTTCTCATAGAGGAGTTATCACTCTAAGCTCATTAACTGTTTATGTCTTGAAATGTCTGACTCTTAGAAGAAATAATAACAACCTTTAGAGAAAAGATTATAAAAACCAACATTCCAAAGGACCACAAGTCAAATTCGCAATGAAATACCACTTTGAGCCTGTTAGGATGGTGATGGCAAAAACCGACAACATCCACCAGAAAATTAGTAGTGATGAGGATACGGAGAAATTGGAACCTTGTACACTGGTGGTAGGCATATAAAATGATGTATGAGCAATAAGAAAACTTTCAGTTCATAAAATAACCACAGTGTCACCATTTGATTCACTTGTCTATCCATCTGAAAGGACTGAAAGGAGGAATAGATATTTGTACATGTGCGTTCATGACAGCATCATTAACAAGGTCAAAAGATAGAATAACTCAAGAATCACTGGCTGGAAAGCAGATAAACAGAATGTAGCATACATAAAGTAGAGTGTTACTTAGCCTTGCAAACGAAGGGTATTCTGATAGATGCAATATACACAAACTTCGAAGGTGTCAAGTAAAACAAGCCAGTCACAAAAGGGTAAATGCTGTATGATTCCACTCATGAAGTACTCAAGAGCAGTCAGATTCATAGGGAGGGAAATTAGAAAGTGCTTCAGAAAAGAAAAACTAAATTCCAGAAAGAATGAATGAGATAAGAAAGGAATTTATCTCTTTTTATAAAATATCGTTAGACAAAAAAAATTCAGGTTGTTGGCTGATGGCACCCGATAAGGCTTGGATCAGGATTGTCCTCCAGAAGCCTCATGTGCTCATAGGTAGGGCTGTTGGAAGGTGACTGAATTACAGGGGCAAGACAGCTGACTTGCTGTTAGGGAGTGGGGCCTGCATAGAGGTGGATTACTAGGGGTCTTACCCGGAGAGTTTACCCCCCTTCCTGGATCCTCCTCTCTCTCTCTCTGTTTCCTGGCCACCGTGATGCTAGCAGCTTTCTTCTCAAAGAGATCCTTCCACCCTGCTGCCTCCTTTTTGGAGCCAGATAATTATAAATTGAAACTTGTAAAAATAAACCTCTTCTCCTTTAAGTTGTGGGTGTCAGGTATTGTCTGAGTGATGAAGAAAGTGACTAAGCAGATATTGTACCAGGAGTAGGTTTGCTGTTGGAGCTACACTTCACCATATTGTTTAGAAGCCTTTGGAACTGGTTCATGGGAGAAGTTTGAATACTAGGGCTGGAAAAGCCTTAGAATGCTGTTAGCTGGGGTTGATAAGAGATTCTGGTTGAGGTGCAGGAGACCAGAATGTGGATAGCAATGCAGACAATCAGGGCCAGACTCAGGAGATTTCAGCTGGCAACAAGGACTTCACTAGCTGTGGGGTTATTCTGTGGCAGAAAATTTCTCTGCATTTTGCTCATGTCCTGAGACTTTGCAACAGACTGGGAATAAGGCTGGTGGAACAATTAATCTGGAACAAAAATTTCAAGACAGCCTAACATTGAGGCTGTGACAGAGGTACTACTGGTGGCTTTTAGCATATCTAGTGTGAGAAGGGCCAACAAACAGAGTTAAATAATTTCAGAAACTTTGCTGGGGGCCAGAAAGGAAGCACCTATACATATGAGACCTGTAAAGTTGAGAGCTGTAAAGTTTTGGCTAAGGAGAGTTGCTGCAAAGATTAGCACTAAAAAGAAGCCAAGTATTGTACCTGGTATCAGGACAATAGGAAGGATGTGTTGGGGTCATCCCAGAAATCAACAAGACCCCACCCTTCCCAGGTTAAGAGGTGCAGAAGTGAAAGACTTTGCTGTGAGGAGAGAACCACAAAGCACCCTGCTCAAGAAGGGCCCCCTGGAGAACTGGTTCCCTGAGGTTCTGTTTATAGTACTCAACCAGCCAGGCATTCTGAGCTTTCTGCAACCATCATCCAACAGGGCCTGCCTACCGTTTAAACTGGCAGCAGATCTCAGCATCATCCACATGGTGATAGTTTTATAGGTGTGAATAATGCAAAAATGGGGGGGTCAGAGAGGCTTTCACCCAGATTTCAGAAGAATTCCTGGTAGGGCTGGCAATGTGCCCTTGAGAAGGAGATGCATGAAACTGTGAGAGTGAAGCTGAAAGTGCAGTGAATATTCCAGGAAGTTGGAGAACCCAGGCAGAATCCCAAAGCAGTGAGCAAAATCATCCCAAGAGAGACCATGGAAGCTGTGGGCAGCAATATTGTCATGGTGGGGCTGCCCAACCTCTTTGGAGTTCACATACCACCACAATTTCCCTGGATGCTAGAAACAGAGATGTAGGATTTAATGATGGCCTTGCTGAATTTTTACCTTGCTTTGCTGTCTATCTCCCTATTTTTCTTTCTAGAATGGGAATGTTTATCCTATGCCATGTATATTGGAAGTGTTTAACCTTCTTTTTGATTTTTATAAGAGTTTATGCCTAAGAGTTTGCTTTGAGTCTCAGAGAAGACTCTGCACTTGGACTTTTCTGCAGTGCTGAAATTGTTAAGCTTTTGGCAGTTCTTAGAGATGGGCTACATGCATTTTGCATGGAGAGGTGCACATGAGTCTTTTGAGGGCAGGAGACAGAATGTCATGGCTTGGATGGAGTGTTCCCCAAAGATATCATAGGCTCATAGGTAGGGGCTTTTGGATGGTGATGAAATCATGGGGCTGATATGGCTGACTCACCAAGAGGTACAATCTGGCCAGAAGTGAGTCTCTAGACACATGAACTGGAAGGGTGCATCTCCCTTCTTGGCTCCTGTTTTCTCTCTGCTTCGTGGGACCAGCTTTCCTCCACAGCAAGTCCTTCCACCAAACCGTTTCCTGTTTGAAGTCAGATGACTGTCGCCTGAAGCTTCTGAAACTGGAGGCCAAAGTAAATCTCTCCTCCTTTGAGTTGTAGGTGTTAGGTAGTGTGTCTCAGTGACAAAGGAAGTGACCAAGACACCACCTAAATCCACATACTTCAGCATTAAAGTGAAGAATCAAAATAATCCATAACTCACACCTATACCATAACTATAACTCCAATGCACATGTGACTGGGAAATAAACATCTGAACTTATCAAAGTCAACTCCACAGCCCATATCATGATACAGAACCAGACAAAAGCTAGAAAGAAGAAGCCTTAAAGAGGTAGAAGACAGCTAGTATCCCCATGAAACAGTCGGATCTTTTATTGGGGAAAAGAATAGGTCTGAACCATGGTCAATCAGATCGTGATTGAATAAAAGTGATGCAAGACAGATACCATTTATATTGGCTTTGCATCCCTGTAACAAAATACTGGAGATAACCACATTAAAAAGAGGAAAGGTTTATTTTGCACCTTAGTTTCTGAGATTTCAACCCACGGCCAATTGGTCTGGTAGCTTTTGGGTCTGTGGTGAGGCAGCACATCATGGCAGGGATCAAGTGGCCCAGCAAATTTGTTTACCTCGTGGCTGAGAAATGAAAAAGAGGAAGGAGCAGGGTCCCATAATCCCCTTCCAGGACAAGCCCTCAATGCCCTGAAGACAGCCTACTAGGCCTCACCTCAAAAGTTTCCACCTCCTCATCCCACCTCCAACCTAGGGACCAAGTCCTTGACACATGGGCCTTTGTGCATCATTTCAAATCCAAAATATAGCGGAGCATGATACCATTTACTTGTCATGTGAAATTTTTAAAATTCATAATCATGCATATATGTTACATGTAAATATCTATGCATGGTAAGCACATAAAAACCAGACCAGGAAGGATGAACACCAAATATTGCTCTGGAAGAAAGAGAAGAGGAATGGGACAGGAAAAAAAGCACATGGGGTTCTTGCTATATTGTAATGCTTATTTCTTTTCAAAAATATGAAATATATTTGGTAAACTAAGAGTTAGCAATGTTTTGGTGATAGGTAGATGGGTTTTGTTACAGATTGCTTCCAACTTCATCCATGTCTGACATATTTTAGAATTGCCCTGCACTTGGTCAAAAGGTTTGTACTGCCATCTTGAATTCTTAACAATTTTATCTTTGAATCTGTGTATTTTTAGTCAGTTTCAGTGAGACAATGGAACATGTTTTTGAACAGAGAAGATCCTGTTCAAAATGTGTGCATGGTGCCTTTACATGTAATTCTCAACATACAGTAGTGACTCTGCTTTAATGCAATTAACTAAATAGTTTTTTTCTGAACCAAACAGGAGTGACTGATGGTGGGGAACACAGATTCAGGTTCTACCATGGAAGAGGTTATAGGAATTTTTAAAGCCATAGAATAATAAAGGTCATAAATCAAATACCTTTGCCAAATACGCTGCTGGGGAAATTAGGTGAGTGGGAAACAGCAAGCAAAAAAACCTTTGCTATGGATTTCTGACATCATAGCATTCTTGGCTTTAGGATTGAGAGAGCCTAGGGATACGTTCGATTTGGAGAGTTTTGCCTATAGTCATGAGGATGTTAGGTCAGATATAGAGGCTGAAAACAGATGGCTATTAAAGGAACTATGATAAACTAAGATCATTTTGGTTCTTAACTCTCCATATCTCACTATCACAGTGTTGTAGCCGGGCAGGGTCAGCCTACACGATCTTTAATGTAGACGCGGCTTCTTCAGTTCCTCATAGTACTAAATGCTCTGCACTTTGACAACATGCTTCACTTGTGCGGCCTTTGAGCGTTGAACTCCCGTATGTCGTGACTCCACAAGAATCCAGGGCTCCTTCTACACCAGCACGTCTAACACTCAGACCATGCTTTGCACATGGACCGGAACTTGCTCTGAGCTAAGCAAATAGCGGTGTTCTTAAGAAACACAAATATCTAAAGAACCCTATCACATCTTTCCTTACTCAGTCACTCCCCTATATTGCTAAAATTTACATTAAATTATAATATAAAAGAAAAAAAAAGATAACACAACCTATAGTTTTTTTTTCCTTTTGGGTCTTGCTTCTTAGTAATTCAAACAGATATTCTTGGTAGAATATATGTAACAAAAAAAGGAAGGAAAGAATTTTTTACAGTATCTCAATTGTTCAGCCAAGAATGAGATATATATGCATACGTGAACTATAAAACACCTGGAATTCCACATATGAGTTAAAGGCTCATTACATTAGTACCGTACAAGCCAGGGCTGGTGGCGCATGCCTTTAAATCCCAGCACTCTGGGAACTGAGGAGGGAGAATAAAAAGTTTAAACCCACCCTGGGCAATTTAGTGACTTAGTGAGACTGTTTCAAAATAAAAAATAAGAAAAGCCTGACGATGGAGCTCAGTATAAAGGCATTGAGTTCAATCCCCCTCAACCACATTAAGAAAAATTAAAAGATTGGCACTGTACAATATAAAGAAAATTATAAAATTCTTGCTCATAATTTAAAATTTTAATTTTTGTTACTTAGAATGGCAACTACCCTTACAAAATAATTTTAAGGACAAAACCTTTCTACATTACTTCTTGTAGTGGCCTTTTTTCTGCTGAGAGGCCCACATTTGCATTTTTCTCCGGCTCCCACAAATCATGGAGCCAGTTCTGACCGTTTGCATGAAGTGTTTCCATACTGGAAAGTTCCTTGTCTCTGCTGGACGCCTCTTTCTCCTTCTGAGTGGTGTGGTGGCCAGCATCCCTCTTGGGTTTGTCCCCCACCCGTCACAGGCACTTTTGGGTCACGGCATGCTTCACCACAACTAAGATGAACTGGGCCTTTTCACACCTTCAAAGATCTGTGGAACCCGGGGCTGGGGATTTAGCTCAGTGGCACAGCGCCTGCCTGGCAAGTGCAAGGTCATGAGTTCGATTCCCGGTACCAGAAAACAAAACAAAACAAAGATCTGTGGAACCCGAGTGGTCACTGAGCTGTTTCACCCACAGAAGGCTTGCAAGATGCCCAGTAATGAAGGTAAGGAAATTTAGGGTCCCGTTGTGGCACACCCTTTCCCACTGCCAGCCTGACCAGGGTCAAGGCTCTGACTTGGGAGCCCCAGGGAGACTGCGCTCAGTGACCAGCTGGC